TAGAAGAAAAACAATTGAGATATAATCAGATACGAAATTCTTTTTCATATTCATCGTCAGTTATTTGTTGCAATTTGATTTGAATAGGTGCTAAATTAATCGCTATATTTGTTTCTATACGGCGAGTACAAATATGTGTACGCAGATGAGATTTTTTGCTAATAAGACCTGAATAATGCTTTCTTATTAAAAAGCCATTAATATGTTTTTGACCATCTATTTGTGAAATGCCATACGGGAATGACGATAATACACGACGATCATCACTACTCAATTTAATTCGAACAAAGGCTGCTGATGAATTTTTAGTTTTACTTAGTTGCTTGTCATTATGAATTCTACCAATCTCAGACATAAAGTCAATATCTGATGTGTTACCCGTACTCACGGAAGACCATAGCATTGACCTCACGTTGACTACCGGATATAAATAGATTAGGTAATATTATCAATAGGTTTATAAGCTGGCAAAGAAAAAAAACAGAAACATAAATTTATAACAATTTCTGATATTGAATTAAAAGTGTTCTGGTATTATTTTCCATTATGCCAACATTTTGAATACTTATGTTCTGGTGAGAAAAGATTGAAAAAAATTTACACCCGAACTGAGCAACTGTGGGTTCGAACTATGGAGTGACCGAGTTTGAGAAACGGATATATTTGATTATTGTTAAGTAATCCTTGTTGTTTTCGTTTCGTTCTTCTTTTTTTGCATCATATGTTATATTATAAGGTCATATGTTTATAGTTACCTTTCTCTTCTTCTCTGTTCTACTGACGTCATTAGTCCGGCCAGTAGTAAATGACATTTTCTTTCCTATTCTTCTTGGATGTCAATTTACTGAAATAAAGTGTGTGTAACAGTTACATTCTTCTTCGGCTATTAACCATTGGATGCAAAACGATTCTGAAAGGAATAACCTCACATCTTACCAAATCAGTTGTAAAAACGCACTTAGAGCTGTCGAATGTCTCATTTTGTAGAAAAATGTTTGCTCTACCAAAGTGAAGTGCAAAAAGACATTTTAGTGTTATCTGCGATAGAAATATAAGCATCAAAAACCGAGCAAAATTGCGAAAAAAGCGACTGTCGATTATTTTTCTATGATTATAGTGCGTTTTCGATTTATTGTATTCTCTCTATATATAACATTAAAATTTTTGTAGCACTTCAGTTTGGTAGAGCAAACATTTTCCTACAAAATATGGCGTTCGGCAGC